ATATATATATATATATATATATATATATATATATATATAGGTAGTAGGGCTGTTGAAGGCTTTGATTTAACAAGTCTCAAACATGCTAAAGACACAAAACAATAAAGACTGGTAAAAATGGAAACACTCCTGTATTTTGTTGCATCTCTGTGTGATCTGACATTCATTCCATTCAGACTGTTCTTCCCCTCTCGTCTGTTTCCTTCCTCCTGTCTCAAGTTGTTGATCTGTTCTACTCTTCTCGACACATAACTCATATCAAAGGGTAACAATCGATACATTATTACACACACCACTCTCACTCCTCTCCCTCTCTTTGTGTATCTGTCATTTGTTCCTGAGCTGCAAAAAAAACATCTGCATCTAACAGATCTATGCTGCTGGGACCCATAAAGATCCAAAATACTCCTCAGATTGGGTTAAGTCCATTTAAGGTAGGGGCTGATTTGAAATTCTACGTTTGCAGGCTTTGTGGCAATGTTTATTAATTGTAGCAGGAGTAAAAGGCTTAAGCGTGTGACAGGTGGAGTGCATGTTAATTGAATGGATCATCATGCCAACAGGAACACTCATTTTGGTGTTCATTGGTCGACTAAATTTAGGATGCAGATTCTTCTTTAATCCTATTAGGAAGAAGAAAAAAAATCAGGTGGGTCTGTGTGCAATCACCATTTCACATAAATTATTTCTACTAATACATCTGCATGCATGGAAGGAGAGCTCTAGCAAATAAAAATAAAAATATGAATGCATTGAGTAGCCTGTCAGAAAGCTTATTCATGTCGTTAAAAGCTGAGTTCATGCTAACAACACTATGACTTGTGATGTCCTCAAAGAGTCTCTGTTTAGGCCATCTGACCGAGCTAAACCACATGACAGGCTGGTTGTTAATCAGCAGCTCTGCTCTACTGAGTTTTTGAGACGTTGTGTACTTTAGCAACGTGCCAAGGTCAGAATTTTGAGAGTTTATAATCGAATTTAGCTTCTTGGAAAGAGTGGAAAATACAAGTTCAAGAAAGTTTGTAAAAGGAGAGATACAAGTAGGGAAATGAGAGGGGAAAGGATAAAAAAGGAGTGAGAAAGTGTTCCTCCTCTTGCTCCCACTGACACAAACTAACAATAGAGACTTTCAGTTCTCTGAATTTTATTAGGCTGTCCACTCTGGCAGCCTCTTCTTTTTCAATCATTTACAAGTGCTTCTGCAAACTCTGGCCCATAATTGCTATTCTTCCCAGCTGGATGAAAAAGAGGAAAAGTGCTGTGTTTGAGGGGATTCAAAATATACTGGAAAGTGGAAGAGAAGAAGAAATAAACTTCAAGTTCTTTGATTTAAAAAAAAAAAAAGTTCTTATTGTTCTCTTCCTAGTTATTATGGCAGATTGAGAAAATTGTTCATCACAAAGGCTATTTTCAATTCCTGTGTTATGTTCACTGCCTCAGGGGATTACTGCCATCTAAGAATCTCCTTGACATGAAAAAAAAATGTATCTGTTCAAAGGGATGCCGTTATACACATAAAAAGAGCGTGAACAAGATAAATAAGTTAAACAGCAGTTTATTCACGTTTGGTTGGAGAGATGACTGCAACATCCTCAGATTAAAGCTTCATTGTTGTGCTGTAATATTAAGACAAAAATAAAAAATAAAAATACAGGCAAGGAAACGGGCATATTTCTGTTTTTAAAATCATGTGAAACAGGTCTGTTGTTGAAAAAGGTCTGCCTGTTTAACTGTGTGCGCTTAAGTTTTATAGGGACCATAAACAATAACCTACAGTATGACGTCAAACATTTTACTTGCATTATTGTACAATAGATTCACTAATGTGCTATCAGAAAAGGTATTATAAATAAAAAGATAAAA